TTATTCTGTGTTCAAAAAATTTTAATAATGTCTTTGTGGATTTAGTTAATAAAAAAAAAATTTTTTTGTTATTTACTGAATATGATTTGTATTTGTGTACAACTTTTACCTCTTTTTGCAACCCCTACCTACCAGTGGCAGGTTGACCAATAGGGGGCGCTAGGGTGCCTCCCCGCCCACCCAATGACCTTGATTAAGAGATTAAAAAAACATATTAGAATTAAATTATAAAATTAAAATATTTCAAAATATATTAATATATATATATTTCAGATGGGCAAGATAAATATTCAATCTTTAATGACAAGTAAAGCGTTTTTTTCGTCGGATTGGTGAAGTATTTCCACCCTAAGGTGCAAAAGCTTTAGCCATAGACTCTCGTTAGAAGTTGTACATGTTCAGTAGCTCCTCTGCAATACAGAAGTATAGGAAGGCTTTGGGTGCAGGAGAACTGCGTGCTGAGCTAGCGAGAACTTTTGTCACAGTTGTTGTGGGGATGATTGACAGGTTGACTCAGAGAAGTGAAATCCCTTAAAGCAAACTTACCAAGGGAACCTGGAGGTGAAATAGTTCGGACCTGATCAGCCATATATCTAAATGAATCAACGGTCCAAAGATAGATGTAGACGGTACACTGTCTTTTTCCAGGACCTGGTTTAGCTACAAGGCTTTTGTAACTGCATGCAGCGAGGCTACAGCTTTATTCTGCTGCCTTGACTGCCTGCCTCGTTTTTCAAATGTCAGGATCTGACCGAGTATGAATATAGACAGGTAGGACCGATTTAAAGCACTTTTCAGAAAAGGCAGAGAAGCATGAACAATCTGGGATTCACGGAAAATAATATAATATAATGTACTTTTTCTAGATGTTTGTTAATTTGCATAGTTGCTCTTAAATAAACCCATTCTCAGAAAATAGTTTTTATATATTGAAAAAATATAAAGCTGACTAATAGCTTCTCCATTATTAAACTGGTACAGATTTTTTTTTTGTTAGGTTCGTGACATCATATTGGACCATGCAAAACCAGATTTTCCTTCACAAATGTCTTAATACCAATGTTAATATATAATCCATGCACACTAGATACTTAATCGTCTTCAACGCATAAAGTGTGCAGGAAAATAAATCAAGAACAGTCACTGGGGTTATTTGGAAGTAGCATCAAAGCTGATGTGACAGGAAATACAATTGAGCTTGTTATCATTCACCTGCTGGTCAACGGGTGCAGCAGTCACATAGCTGTGACCAGGGAGGTCAGAGTATTTTTAGGGGAGAACTGACCTGCAGAAAAAGGTCATGGGCTCTCAGAGTCCAAATAAATGAGATGAAAAGCTGTCTTTTACTCATAACAGAGAATGGCTTTTTGTCTGTTTTCTCTAAATGACTATTTAATTCTCTAATACACGCGTGCAGTTAATCGTGAGTTTTATTTTTTTCAAAAGCTTTACATTATTCTTTTAATCTCAGATGAATTTTTTTTTTATTGCCACACATTAAGCTTTCTGGTTTTACTGGGTAAACTGCTTAAGATTTTCAATGGCGATCTATGGATGGTACAGTTGGAGAATAAAGGGAAAACATATATGCATTATTTATGGTGTTTTCTGTTCATCATTAGAATTTTCAATATCAGTGTTAAAGATCAAAATGGTTTGCCCCCTGAAGGTAGAAATGCATATTAGGAAGTCAGTAGCCAATCTTAGTGCAGATGAATAATTTAGGTGCCAGGAAAGGTGCCTATAAAAAAGTATTAGTAATATTAATATGGCTTTGACATGTAAAACTTTGGCTTTACATTTGTGGAAGCCCACCTTTTATTGTAAAATCTCTATTCAGATAAAAAAAAAACATATTTTTCAATTACAAACAGTACTTAGTGTTGCACCCCTACTGGATTTGTAACTTAATGTAAACAGGATTAGATTGGCTGTGTTATTAATCCCAAGTTTCAACTCCAAATCAAACTGAGTTTAGTCACACTAATTGTAGGAATAATTGTCGGATTATAGAAAAGTTATGTCACTTTCAATTTAGTGAAGGAGTCCATAAGATTTTATTGAAAATCTCCCGGTATCTATGATGGTTGGAGGATAGGCTGTTTTGGCTCGGCCGGGACTTATTTAGTTGCTGCGTCATTGGCCACCATGGCCACCATTTGGCTTTCTGGTAGCGCTGTGCTGGGGTTCTATCTTTTTAATAATACAGTATTAGCATGGAGGTTTGAAGTATAGCACTTTTATTTTATTATATTAACTTGGATTTTGGTCCCTTTGGTAAAGGCATATAACGTGACTATGTATCTTTGAGATTGTCGTTTCTTATTTTAGACTTAATTGATAATTAAATAAATCTACCTAATTAAACATATTTTTAAATGGATTTTTGCTGTGAGAATATCAGAGTGAATACCAAGATGTATTTAATTTTAGAGCATTTTAGAATTCTCTTCAAAGGTTACCACTTTGTGTGGCTGGCACTGTATACCTGAAATGAAAGTACAGTACCTGTACCTGCAACACTGGAAATGCAAAAGCCTTTCAATCTCTTGTTCTGTCCAACCTTGGAGGGATAAGAGGGGCAATGAGTTAAAGTGAGAAAGGATTTTGCTTCATCTTGCATCTTTTACTTTCAGCAATTAGTCATTCCTCAATTCATCTGTCATGTAAGCTAATCTCTCCCAAAGTGTCTCTCCTCTCGCTGCCTCTGTAACTTTTTATTAATGTGCTTTCTCCTCTACTGTGGCTCTGGGCTAAATGCCTTTTACTTGCTTTTCTCCCCTCTTATTTTTCATTTGCCCACTCGCTCACCACTTTAGTCTGCTATATATGCATCCACCCCCCTCTACATGAATCCTTTGTGCCCTTGTGGGTTCTTCTGTTTGCCCTTACCCTTTGTTTAGTGTATTGTCCAGAGTTTTTGTGCTTTTTGACACCAGCATTTAAGTAACTAGGCCTGTTCTACTCAAGGCCAATGGCAAACTCGAACACATACACATGCATCTTCACCCTCAATCACCCCAGAAAGTCCTTACCATAGCACTGTCTCATCATTGTACCAGCAGTATGTGAAAGTAAATCTGTGTGTGTGCAGCTGTCTTTGTGAGTTAGTTTTCTCTTTACACTATGTCAGGGTGAAATACTGTGTAATGCACAGTCAGCAGATAGCTAGTGAGGAAAAGTGCTGTTTCTATTACATTCAACGACAAGCACACATCTACAGATATAAAGAAACTGCAGGCGTTATTATTTTGTAATTACTGTGTAGAAATGGGGGAAAAAAGTGCAATTATTCTAAATGCTTTTTTTATGTTCTCTTCCATTGCCGTTACCTCCTGTGTTTCTTTTCCTACTCCTCTTTGTAGTTTGTCCTTTGGATTTTTATTAAATGTCGGCTTTATTAATGGACTCCCCTTTCTAGTTTGACTCACATTCTTTGCCTTTTTTTGATTCCTATTCATTAACAGCAGACCGGTTTAATCAGGGACTCAAGCTAGAAAATCCAATGCATATACTATTGATTGGATACAATGTGTTTAATAGCTGTAGAGGTCCAGCTATTACCAACTTCATAATGCGAAAAAGGAGAAGCTGAACTGGTGTATAAGGGGCTGCCATACTAATATATGTCTGCAGAATAACCGAACAAATCACTAAACCTAATGTTAAGTAACATTAAGAAGTTCTCATTGACTAGAACATATTAAGAGATCTTTATCCTGTTTGATGGAGTTCCCTTATAATAACCTCGTTGATTATAGGAAAATTATCATCTTACTCAAAAGTTCATTATTCTTACCTTTGCTACAGTAACTCAAAACTTTAAATTCATATGTAGTTCAGAGCTACCTATGCAAAATGAGCTGTAATAGGATGCATGTAGGCTCCTTTTCCTATTTTATTCCTTACTACTAGAACTATTTAGTTAGCAGTTATCCCTTCGACCACTGGATTTCTTCCACTTTGGCTTAAGAGTCCTTAATTATTTTGTTGTGTTCGGATGGACCCCCAAGTCTGTTTTCTGGTTCCTGGAAATGCAGCATTTTGTATTTCTGGCTTTCTTAGAGATTCATTATACAGTGATGCTTATTCAAGTCTGTCTAAAGTGTGCCCTACACAAGAGATTCCATGTTAATAATAGAGACCAGAACAAATGCTCAAGTGTAAATCATTGTTATGGGTCCTTGGTGTCTTCAAAAGACACTGGCTGTAGCGATCAGGATCTTGGTTCTGTTGGCTAGCTTAATTGCTCATTTTATTCACATGTCTAACTCTGCCCAGTTTCTCATTACTACTCATCTGACCCACCTGCACCTGCCTCTATTTAAGGTGCTTGATCCCAGCCATCAGTGCCAAATTATTCTTGAGCCTTTGGTGTGAGAGTTTTCTAGCGTTTCTGATAGTGTTCTGAATGCCCGATCCTGACCTTTTTCTGTATTCGAACCTTTGAGCCTACCTGCTCCTGTTTGATCTGTTTACCTTACCTTTCTTTGGATTTTGTTAGACTATACTGTAGACTGAACCTGGATCTGCCTCTTGATTTCTGGATTATACTGCCTTCCTCTATCATCTGCTCGAATTTTATCTGTCAATTCTAGGTCCTTCAAGGCTCATCCATAAGCATATCCAGGTGTTATTGGCAAAGCCAAAGTCCAGACCTGAATCCAATCTAATATCTGTTAAAAAAACAAAAAAATGATATTCACCACCACTCTCTATCCAACCTCACTGAGCTCCAGCTGTTTTGTAGGAAGAAGGGGCAAAAATTTCAGTATGTTGATTTGCAAAACTTATAGAAACATATCCCAAGTGACCTGTGGCTGTAATCGCAGCAAAAGGTGGAACTGCAAAGTATTAACTCTAGGATGCTGAATACATTTGCACAACCAATTTTTCAGTTGGCAATTTAAGAAATTAAGACAATATTTATTGTTCACATTAAGGTTTCATTAGACGACAAGAACTAACAGATATTTTTCATTTCTCCTGTTGTCCTACAGGTCCATGCTTTCCCCTCTCTATCAGGACCATGGGGGCTCAGTGGTGTGGCCTCACACTTTCTCATGCTCCTCTTCCTCTCAGGGCCTCCATCGCGAGTTATGCTACAGTTCTCCTCGGATCAGTGGGAGCAGCCCTGGCCCCAACCCCACCTACTATCATGCTGTTTATGACGTTAAGGTGGAGGAGTACAGTGAGCTGCCCTTCTCCGGTGGAGAAAGTGTGGATGGTGATCCCTTTGGGCAGGTTAATTTGCCCCTTGCTACCAGCAACAATGACCCAACAGTCCCACTCATTCGTCGGAGAGGAGGAACGGTGGATTACCGGGACGTCATCTTGGCCCACCAAGCACATAAGATGCACAACACACCACAAGCCAAGAGGAAACAGTGGGAGTGAGTATTGGTCACGTTTTCATACCATAGCAATAGTATAAATCATGTAGAAAGTTGGTGAGAGTATTTGTTAACATAGTGCATACAATGCATAGTTTAAACTATCTGCAGTGACTTTGCATCTGTTTTACAGAATTTACATATCATTTTTAATGTTCCCCTAAAGTTCTGCATCACATTTTTTCCTTTTTTTTTGCCCAAAAATCTGTTTTTGGACATAAAAACTATCACAGTTTTTCAACATTGGAAACATATTAGTATAATATAGACACCAACCATTTTGTTTTCTCATGAGTTTAGAGACGTTTTATTTCTGCAGCATTCTTAGTTCAGACTTAAACGGCTTTAGAGAGTTGCGGGTAAATAGCTTCTTTGTTGATTAATCCCTCGTCTTTTTATTAGTCAAACAAAAAAAAAAAAGTTTTTTTTAACCCAGATAGTTTTGTATCTCCTTGAGGGTGTCATTAGTAGTTTAGTTGGACCCAACCACAGGTAGGAGGCAGGCAGGGTCATCAGCGGATATTTTAATGAAGAAGATCACTTACTGTAACCTTAACAGTTTGAAAAATGGGAAGAAACACAACACATTGGGAAAAGTATTAGATAGTCCAGTTAAATGGGGAAAAAAAGGCTAAATTATGGGAATGGTGACTACTACCTGTTGAACAAAGTACCTGCCATACCATGGTATAAAGGGGGAGAGCTGGGTAGGGCTGTGGTTAGCTGTGCTCAGTAACTAACAGGTTGGCCTCTTTTAGCTCGTTCTTTTAGCCATATTAAGCTACACTACTTTGTTTGTTTTCAACAAGTAGAATAAATCTTATTTTTGATGTCTAAAATCTATAAGAAACTAAAAAGATGTTCCATTGTCACATTGTTAAATGGCAGAGCTCACTCTGACTTAGAAGGCAGTGCTTTCCTTCAAGACTGAGAATGATTGTTTTCTACTATCGTCTATTTTAGAACGCCGAGAAAACGTAAAATAACAGCAAGTATGGGTAATTATATGTTGAGACTCCAGAGGAGATCTGATTCTTAAGGCTATGTTCACACCACAGCATGAAGTGACCCAAATCCGATTTTTTTTGCCCACATGCATCCTGGATCTGATCTTTTCATGGCTGTCTGAACAACACAGATCCGATTTTTCCAATGCGACCCAGCCCACTTGGCTATGAGGTCCTGAATCGGATACCAATCTGATCTTTTCAAATGCGACCTGTGTCTGAACGGCCAGGTCGCATTAATCTGACCTGAACGCCATTGATAACCAACATAGGTCACTATTCTGTTTCTTGCTACACAGAAGTGGCAAGATCGCCAGATGCGCTCCAGCACTACCATCCATGTTTACTTCCATAAACACGAAGCATGCTGGCCTGTGACCGCATTGCGTCCTCTACTGTGCATGTGGGACACTTAAAGCTACAGTGTGTAATAATTACAGGGATATACAGTCAGAAATGTAATATATTACACATAACTATGTTATTTATCATCATCTACGAGCTCAGCCTCTTAACCTTAATATTTGCGTTGCCTTAGAATTCGTTATTTATAATTACATAGGAGCGGGTCTCGCAGCCATGGAGGCAGACATCTTTGCGCTACGGCAGCGCAGAGCCAACAAACTAGTGATTGCGAGATCGCCCATTACGCTCGAAAGTAACTACGGCAAGTTGAGAGAGATGAACTGAGACAGTACTGAACACACAGACTAATGAAATACTATCTGTAAAATTATCTATGTAAACAAACCTCATCACTTGAGAAGGTAGGTGATGCGGACGTCGTGGAAGACATTTTGTCCTGTAACGCTCGCCGTACTGTTGGGGGGGAGATGTTCATGTTGCTGCGGTCTGCAGTCTGGACGTTAGATGTCGCTTAAAATTACACACTGTAGCTTTAAACTGTATAAATGCAGTTCACACAGGAGATCACATACATGTAGGATATATTTGGAAATGTGGACGGCAGCGCAAAAAAATTGGATTTCACAAAAAATAGCGGAATTGAGCATCAAGGCCTGCAGTGTGAACGTAGCCTAAGAAACCTTTGCAATACAGTTTGTCCGAGTGGCGTTGCCATATGAGGACATCATAAGAAAAGGCAGGGCCCCTAGCAGATCTGACCACCCGAGCAGATCTGATACCTACACTGGTGATAGCTTGTCCTGTCAGTTTATTCATCTTCAGTGTGCTTGAAGCCACAGTCACAATGGTAGTATTATTCTCCTTAGTGATTGTTTGCACACCAACCAGTCACACACACACACACACACACACACACACACACACACACACACACACACACACACACACACACACACACACACACACACACACACACAAGGGGACAAAATTGTTGGCACCATCTGTCTGAAGAAAAGCTACAATAGTCACTGAAATCCCTCTAAACTTACAAATAAAAAGGAACTGGACATTAGTAATTGAAAATCAGAATTTATTTCCCTCAGTTGATATCAACAGGGAATTTAGGAGAATACTTTTTGGATAGGATAAGATAAGATCAAACTGGGGACATAATATTTACCTTTACATACATAAAAATCAAGCATATCATCTAAAGAACAAATTCCCTACTTTAATACATGGATGAGTCTTGGTGGATTTGTCTTGAGTTTGTGCAGGGGGCAATGAAATCTAAAGACTGTGAAAGTATACTGGAGAGATATGTGCTGCCTAGTGTTGGAAAGCTTTGTCTGGGTGACAGGTCAGGGATCTAAGGACACAATAGGGACCCAAACTACATATCTAGAAATACACAAGAATGGATAAGAGCAAAAATATATGACGACGATGAAGAGGAGTTTTATGAGCCCTCATCTGAATGCAGTTAAAAACCATAGAAGGACCTGACATATGAAAAGACTCATGGTGGATATGAAGTTTCTGAGGGTGAAACCTCCTTTTTATTTCCATGAAACTCAGATACATGAAGAGAATGGGACTAAAAAACATTGAAGGTGGTAAATGACCAGGATATATTTATGCAAAAAAAAAAAAGTTAAGGAAATTACAAAATTGAAAATGGAATCCATACATTAATGACCACACCTGAACTCTGATAGAGGCATCTGAGAGCCTGAAAAAATATATTTAAAACACAGAAAAGATTACAACAAAATCTGACACCATGAAAGTAAATATAATGGCACCATCGATCAATCAGGACTTTTGCACAGTACTTGTTTTGCTGTTACTCTGGAGAGGGGTACAGTTATACTACCATTAATAGATGTGGTTTGTTTTTTATATATTTAAGTGAAACATGATTTGTTAAGAATGTCTGTAAATGTGTAACAACAGCCATTTGACCCATCAACCTTGGCTCCCCAATGCTAATCTGAAGTAGGAGTATTGGTTTTGTATATGTGCACTGAAACATCAAAATAGCTTTTGAACCAAACCTGAGATAATAAGTTCATGTTACATTATCTGATTCCTGAAGGGTTATCTTAGGTTCTTGTTAGAGAGAAATGTGTTGCTAAAAGCCTCTTCACATGTTTCATGCACTCTTTAAATTTAACTTTTAAAGTATTGAACATTTTGTTTGAATTATTCGACAAAATGACGTAAATAAATAAGCAGTTTTTCATCTTATTTCCCTTCTAATTATTAACAGGTTTTAAATTGACCATTCACAAAATGAATAAAATTAATTAATGAAAATGGAAAGGAGTAATGAAACAAAAACTACTTGTATTGATTTAGAAGTAACTGCTGCCAGGGTACAGCTGGCTTTCAGATCTTACCCTCCATCTGTTTCCTTCTTACGGCTCATCTTGTTCTCTTCCTTGTATTGTGTGTTCTATCCTCCGAGCTTTGAATGTCTCACACGAACAAAAAAGCTTTTGCAGTGCCAAATAAGTGACCTTCAGTAACAATATCTACCGGTATTTATCTGGATCAACTGCTGGGATTATATTAGGGTTATTTCTGTAATACTGGACAGAAATGTTCAGATAACTATTAAAAAGTGTCTGATAATTGCAGTTTAAACCCTTTTTTTTATTTATTTGTCAGTAAATCAAAATTGACTATGCAGTCTATTACAAAATGCTCTTTAATGTTTTTATAGTAACGCTGCTTTAGAAATAAGAAAACACTTTAAAATTAAAGTAATCAGGAGAGCGAGGGGAACAACTCTTTCAGCCCAGATGCTCCAGCTGCTGGGTTCATCCTCTCACCACACCCCAACAGAAGTTGACTTTGTCCATCACATGTCCTCGAGTCCGTTGAGTGATGAGATTTGTGACAGAGGTGTTGAGTGGGGAAAGCAAAGACTTCTATACTCAGCTTTCTTTTTTTTAAGGGACAAATAAGCAGAAAGACGGACAGCTGCTGACCAGGTTTAAGAGAGATATGACCAGATATGTCAGCAAAGCCCAGGGGATGACACAGATTTTAATCTAGTACGACAGGTTAGGAAAGCACTTCCTATGTCGTTCAGTAGATGGACAGATGGAGAGGTGGTCGATGGGCTCGACAGTTTTTATCCTAAGCGAGCACTTCAAAATAATACAAATGTCACAGGACCAATATTTACCCTACTCATCCGTCCTCAGCCAATCTTTTCTTTGTAAATATGATTGAGAGCTTGCTAGCTGAATCTGCTGCATTGGTTCTTTCACCTTTTTCAACTCAAAATTGCACAAATGAATAGGGCTGGGTAAAAAAATCGATTTTGAATTGATTCCTTTAAATTTTTGCAAAATCGATGTCTAGGGAATGACATCAATTAATTTTATAGTGATGAGCGTGACATTCACATTCAAATGAGCAGGAAATATGCACTTAAGAATACAATAGATTGACTGCACAATAGGTGGACTGAAGACATTGACAAATGGGGGATGACCAGCAAACACCCTGTAGTTGTTACAGACAACACTGCAAAAATAGTTTGTGCAGAGAAGATAATGCAGCTCATGCCTGTCTGCTGTGTCACTGCTGTGTCACATCTGCTTGCTCGAGTGA